AACTTAATCCCATGACCTTTTATATTACGAATCGATTTAAATAGTGAACTCACGTTTAAAAAGTAATATCATTGGATAAGGTTGGAGTTCTATGGATTTCACCTCCATTCAGAACGTTCAATTAGATGAGTTCCGATTTACTTGGGTTTGTTGGTGTTTATGTGTAGGCTAATTCTTTTATGTTATTAATAATTTACAAGCAACATTATTGGTAAATATATCTAAATTTCGTTCTAGATGAAATTACATCTTTAATTATATTTTCATTTATTTTAGTTTCTTAGATTAAATTGGTATTCTCAACTTTTGCTCGAATACTTGAGATTATTTCAAAATTCTGCGCTAATACGTTTAATTTAAATCCGTTTCTGAAATTATAAATTAAAATAATAATGTTATATAATGAAATAATGACTATAATAAACATTGTAATTTAAAACTAAAATGCAGTAGAACCCGTGTCCCGTATTCGTACCTATACCTGCATATATACATAAACAAAACGTAATTAAGATATTTATTCCGTTATAAATCATACATGCATTTTATAATTAGACTTAATATAATTTCAGTGATCAAAATATACAAGAGTTATGAATAAACTATAATGTATAATTTTTATCTAAAGTAATTAATTTTTAATTGTTATTTAGATTCCACTAAAACATTCTGTATGTTTACAATAATTTAAATTGATGACAGTATTAATTCCAGAGTTATCAATTTAATAAATATCCCAGTTTACTAATAATTTAATAACATCAGGGAATTGGACCTAGTAATTTACGTTTGTAAGTTTGATCGGTACAAAGTAAATTAAATTTAAAAATTAATCAGAGTAGGGACAAAAGTTGTGACGTACAATATAATACCTAATAAAAGGGATCAATAAAAATAAAGCTTAAATTATTCGTAAACTCGATTTGAATCTAACGCGTGTAGTAAACTTGATTTTAATATTAACATTAGGTAATTTAAATTTATTACTTAATATCTGAGGGAAAAAATTATGATTTTAATTATAATTTATTGTTGAATATTAATATTCAGCTATCAATTAAAATGCAGTTATTTTTATTAATACCTACAATCTGTATCGTTATACAATAAGAATATATACTAAGTATACTAAGAGTACAATTGTCAGGAACATTATTGTGTTGGAAGGAGCCACCCAATTATGACATTTCCTATGGTTACTTGATTATTATATTTACTATCATTATTTTAATATGTTGTAGGTTTTTTAAAAAAAAAAACAAATTATCACTTAGGCGTCTTAGGGGATTACCAGGAATCGTACCACAGACCAAATTTTTAATGAGTGAATTCGAATGAGTACTTAGGTGATAGTGGAATCTTTTATAGGCACATTTRAATTCATCCCTTACTGTTTTTATTTTCCGGTCTGAATATAGAGAAAAAATTTGAAACGTAAGAAGGTGCAATAATTCAATTATTTAAGATTATAATATAGAAGCAATGTTTTCAAAGCATTATTTACTGAATCCAATCCAATAATCATTTTTATTTTTGCCTATTGTGAAATGCATATATTCTTATGATATTGAATCATGATTTTATTTAACTAAATATAAGTTTTAGTAAAGTTTTTAATGTGATAATATAATGATGTGTATCTTAGGTATTTTTGGAAATTGTGATCTCTCATCTAGTCTTCAAATGTACGCTATTATTTTATATTACAGTACAACAGCTATAATATACTTTCGAAAACATTTTAGGTGTATTCCAGATAATTTATTATTAATATTTGCCCAATATATTGTCTTAATTAAGGAAAAATAATAATAAATATACAACACAACAAATTATGTCTTTTTGATACCTTGATGTATGATGTTTTCTCTCTTAAAAGAAAATTGTTTTATACACACATCATGCATTCGTATATCACACCTACCATTCCTTTCAAGTAAATTATATTAACTCTAGAATTGTTCCGTCCTCCCTGTTAACATAGCTTATTAAACCTGACCCTTGAAAACTAACAATTTGGTGCGCGTATACTCACTAGCACGTACAAAAGATTTATGTAACACGATCAGCGTCGGAAACTTTTTATATACCTAGTTATTTATGTTGAACTTGCGGTGTATCTCTCGAACCCTATTTTTATGCGCGTGAATTCAATTATTATAATAATATTTCAAAAAAAAAAATATATATATATTTATATATATATAACAACCACGCGACTGCACGAATTAGCTTAACGTAGGTTGGCTCATAATGTATAGCAATGCGTGGGGCTTTTTAAATCTATATTCTTGCACTAACTGCTGTAAATATTTATAGATGATTTGTAGGTTTATTGTTCGATATTGTAATATACTTTTAAGCCTGTTGTTTATTTCCTCTGATTTTATCACGCATCAATGTCAACGTCAATATTAATCGGAATACTCAAATCAGACAACCCTAATCAATGGTATAGTTTTGCAACCACCATTTTACCGACAAAAATATATAGAAAAAAACTAATCGCACACTAGAAAGAATAATTCAATGCGTAATTCATATAGAAGATATTTACTTCCACTACGATATTAATATCTGAGTATGAGCAATCACTTATCAATTTGCACCTCGCTCTTCTATTGGATATCTTAAATGAAAATTGACGTGGCCAACGTGATTGCCTACATAATATATTTGCATAAATTACGTAATAGTGTAGACATTTTTAAATAACATGATGAGTTCATTTTTCGTTATTAATTAATGTTTACCATTTTGTAGCATTAATCGAAAAATTTTAATAAACAATTCGTTTCGAAACACTTTGGAATACCATCATAATAATACTTTTATGATTATCCAGCGACTCTCACGTTGTCATCATCATACCAACCAAATGATAGTAAAATATAACCAAATAATTTTGTTGTATGATTGATATGAAATATTTATCATTTCTATGCATTAGAACATTAATTTAGAATGTTAATATTTTGATTCTAATAAAAATGAACACGTGATTTAAAAATGTAATTATAATTTGTTAAAGAAAACTTGACACTTTTTTTTTGGAATATTAAAAGATAAATTAAATAAGTGTGTGGTTACTAGACAGGCAAAATCAATCCAATATTATTATTTTATTAGGGTTCTTGTTATAAAAATATTACTTTATACTCATTAGTTATTAGTAATAACTAATTTGAGTAATAATATTTATAAGTAATAACTTATTACTCATTAAGAAGTTACAAAAAATATAGGTTTTACCAATTAGTTAAGCAATTGTTTTTTTTTTCATTTTAATAAAATAAAATATTTATAATGTGTTTCCATCAATTGAGTTTGATTATTTGTCATAGCGTTTTAGAAAATAAGTACACCTTTTATATAAACATGCCTAATAATATTCAAATAAAGTATGTTATATTTTAAACCAACAATATTAACTCACTCGAAGTAAATATTGAACACACAATACTAATAATGACGTTAAATAATATATAATAGGTAATAATATTGCAAGTATTTAAACAATAAAAAATGTATTCCCACATACCACTATTTAAATACAGACTTGCCTGTCTGCAACATAAAAATTTTAAATTTAGTAAATGTTATACATTTATGATCTGGTAATTGAAGTGCTCCACTGAAACTTATAAATATTTTCAGGCATAAAAAATACATTTCAAACATGTCATTGTTAAACTAATATCCTCTCAGTCGTTTTACTGCAGTTTGTACATTAAATTTAAAATAAAATAAAAATGTAATGAAAAATATGATTTGCACTTTATACCCATACATAAATATAGTGATTATCAGTTCAAAAAGTTTTTTTTTTTAATAGTTGTTGTGTTTGTTTCATTCAACTTGTAAACACGAGTTGAGCTAACTGCATTATCGTACAGCATTTACGTTTTTATACTTAGTAATATATTTTTCAATCGTTCTAAACCCATGCAAAAATAAACCAATAAACAATAATATTCGGCAAATAACTATCAACGTTTTACTGCTGTTAGTGACTTAACTAAAATCCACCATCAAATATAAACGTAAAACTGTACAGCGAAAAACAAAACTAATTGTATTGCTCAATAATAGATTATTGTCAACCTTTATGTTGCAATCTGAATGTTTTGGAAATAGCATTAATAATGTTTTAGCTCTTTCTACACAACACGGTGTGAACACAAAGGTATTTTAAATAACATTATACTCGTAAAATAGCTTGTTAGTGGGAATGAACAAAAGTTTTACTGCAGAGAAAAACAAATTCTTTTCTTCACTGCATACCACATAAAGATTAATAACCATTGTTTACAGAAAGAAAAAAAAATCGCGTAAGGGAAAAAAATATGTTCATTAAAAAAAAATTAAGCAACACCGCAACATCCTCGGTTAAGACCTTTCTGTTCTCAACGTCCCTCATATAGCAACACAACCCAGAATGACATTTTTACCACATGATATATTATTAATAGTAAAATACCAAGAGTAAAAATAATACGAAAACTCACTAAAAATGACGATTTATTTTTTTAATATGAGTCAATACACTACTCCATTAAATGCATTTAACTTGGAATTAAAATAGGAACATATTTTTACAGATGAACGATTTTTCTATGGAATCGATGTCGTTTGATACTTTCAAACAAAATTCCAAAGTAAATTATTCACAGAATATGTTTGATTTCTGTTTAATTTTTTTTCCACACACCTTTTGATTTTTGACGATTACCTATTACATTACTAAAAAAATATCATGACGCTCGCACACTTCAATCTATTGGTTTAGTAAAATGTAAAACTTACGCAGGAAATATTAATGTAATATACGAATCTATAAAATGTGATGTTTCTACTAAAGCCCTGAATTATATTATTATAATATTATATTATAGTGACCTTGATATTCATATGATAATATACAAATTATTAAACTGTTATGTCTTGTTAATAAATTATTGTAATTCGAATATTTTAAACAAGGTTCGTAATTATTACAGAGACTCCGTGTCGTCAGACGAGGTGGACTTGCCTACTCGCGTGATGGCTATCCAGAACGTTACTAACCTGCTCATCCAAACGTTTAGCAGCCAGTTCGTGTTTCCTGTGCTTGGCCACGATGACCCGGGCGCCTTGAAAAACCATTTGATAGACTACACAAGTTTGGGACACTATTGGCGACAGTGGTTGCCCACGGATGCTATACAGACGTTTAACAAAGGTAAGTTTTATGCATATTATTATTGTTATTGTATCATAATATTATTAGTTAGAAAAATAATTACCGACTACTAGAATAATCATATGATGATGAAAATACTAAATAGTAACAACAATATACCGTAATAACACGAGATTATGAATTAAATATAATGTAATATTAATAACGATTACACGCCTTGCCGATAATCGTCTTCTTATTCCGTATATTAATATAAAAGACGCGAGAAATAATAACCAGCATAAAACATAATATAGTATTATTATGATTGTTTGTCACTATAGCAGAATAGAATCGAATAATAAGGGCGTGAAACGACCAATACCACGTGGGCGTGTGCAAACTGATTATTGTAGTATAATGTGTCGATAACTGATTAGTTAGTTGAAATAAACTATGATATACGTTCACGTTTTGCATCATTATAGTGTATTTATTCTTAATTGACGTTCTAAAAACCACTTTAGCCACAATGTAATTAAATTCGATATTAATTCTATCACATTCGATTTAAAAAAAAAAAATAATAGTATGTTTAAGTACCTCATAAAGGTAGAAATGTGTCTATCATATAGACTCTATAAAATATACTTCTAAACCGTATACAGGAAGATAAATAATATAATATTTTATAATATAATAACATAATGCAGTGGACAGAAGTCCACTAATTTCAGCACGTTCGAAACTGTTATGTATTGACAGCCGCATTTATATTAACTGTCAACCGTCGTCGACGGAGCCGTAGGCCGTTGACATAATATTTTATAGTCAACATTATTATCGTCATCGTCGAGCGCGGTAGAGCTGATTATGTATAATATAGTGGTATTGACATTTTGTGTAATGTAAACACATATTTTATCATTCAAAAATGAGTTCGCAAAGTTTTGAACGCAGTGCAAACAATTTCGTATATTAATTTAATGTAAGCAGACATATGGTTAAATATATAATAAAATGTCCTGAAAGTTTAATTTTCATCACATAATACTCGTAAGCGTACATCAGCTATACGGACATCATTTTCATTGTTTAGTCTCTGCCAATATTTTAATACGAAATATACATAAAAATAAAATATTTTATTCCCAATAAATTGGGTGTTAAATAATATTTTTGTCAGAAATTTACTTATTTTTTTGGAATGTACAAAATAATTCATTTTTTTATTATATTTGCTTTCAATTAGTGATTTCAAATAAGATGTACAATATAATATCAATGCATATTCATTCCAATTTTAGTTTTGAGTATTTGAAAACTATTTAAATCCAACGTTCTGTGTTTAACCTTATGGTTTATACATAAATCTGTGATCTCAACGTTTAGACGTCATCAGCCACATCGTCAAATATTTAACAGATTATAGTTGATAAATTAAATGGGTTTATGCACAATCTATTTAAATATTGGCCGCATTGCGGAAATTGAATACGATACATAATGTGCATTTAAATATTGAAACTTTGCGACATTTGAAGCGTTTGACCCATAACAGAATGTACTTTGGAAATAATTCCACGCGAAGTGAATCAAATCGTTAGTATAGTTTTTATTTCCCTAAAAAAATATTGTGAGAATCTACAACAATGACCTGTGTAAGCACCATCTGTGTCTACTTTCCGATCGATAAAGGGTCTATGTATGTAACTTTTAGAGTACTTTTATACTGTTTCAAAAAGCGTTTTTTAAAGAAAAAACAATGCATCATTTTAAAGCCAAGCCAATAACTCCCTGGTCGCGTTCGGAATCTAAGATTAAAACATTAATTCACACCACGCGAATGTGCAGTATAATGTTATGTTTTAAACTTTCCGTCCCTATAACGGCCATTTGTGTCTTCTATTTTATTCGTAATTCGAATATAACAGTGTTACAGAAGTTATATATATTATATTTATAATTTATCTCCGAAAATTGTATGAATTGTAAGAATTTATCACATTGCAGTTATGGCAATCTGTAGTGCTACAATATTCGTTAACACACGAGACAGGATATTATTATTTTGCTTGTGGCGGAGGTAGAAAATTGAAAAATCTCGAAATGGTGTTATGGAGTTCTGTAATAAAATGTCGTTATTAACTTGTTAGACAATTTTATAATACACTGATGCTATATTATTGGGCGCACCTGCATTAAAATATACTTCATTCGACAACGATGAGTTCTCTCTGAGTACCTATCTCTTAATGCGAATACCAATTATTGGAAAATGTTGAATGTTGTAAATAAAATAAGAGCGCAATTCCAATTTAATATTCCCGTGTCGTGTTGTAGATAAATACCGTTCAATAAAACTGTTGAAAATATTAAACCACAAACAGTATTTTAGGCTATCACAACCGTGGTGATGATGATCTAACGGTTGTTTTGGCTATTTCGTCAGCATCAGCAAATTAAATACTAAAATATGTCATGATTTTGGCTTGAAACAAACACAATTATTATTATATTATGCACCTTGTAGTGTGTACTCGTCAAACTTCAACGTTTCGAAAATCCACGAACGATCCGAAATAATAATATATTTCAATTTCATCGTTTCACAATACAATAGTCTTGATGACTCGTTCATTTATCGTTTAACGTTTGTGGTGCTTCAAATTAAAGTTTAAAATGGCAAACCGTTTCGGACTTAAAGTGTTACGATGAGTACAGTTCAGATTTGCTTATAAATAATGTGATATCCCTAATTCCCACCGAGTAAACCGTTCCAACATATTATATTCAGCACGGGTATATAAATTTCAAACATAATATCCCATTTGAGCCGTATAAACATTTTTCGTGACATTTATACCTTTGCAAATGGAATTTCCTTGATAGCAGTGAAGATAAACCCGGAATTTCCGTTTACTGCAAACTAAACAACAACAACAAAAACCTACATAATAAATATGTAACTAAATGATTTCTAAAGTACCTATAACACACAATGGATTAAGAAAAAAAAAATAGTTAAATATATACATGATTAATATTTTATATGTACATAATATAGTGAAATAAATGATAGGAAAAATATTTACACCTTTACATAGAAATGTTTAATAATGCATTTCATGAAAAACTAAAATAAATAAAGACAAAAAAATGTGATAAAAAAACCTATCRATTACATGACAGTACTATTTATATTATAATTGTATACCCAGTTTYTAAGCTAGTATGACTTTATCGTAATTAAAAACACCATTGCGATGCGTTGCGAATGCACGACTTTGTTGACTTCTTGAAAAAGGTTTTCCCATAATTTTATACTATTTAATAAATAAGTTATTAGAACACATGGATATTTCCTGGTACCTACATGATATACAATATTTTAGCGAAAATGATTATCGGATAATTAATCTTATTTTTTCTAGACGTGGTTAACATACTTTAACATTTTATAACATTTATATATTATAGTTTTCTAGAATATTATGTACATTATATTTTATTGGTAATTGAATCCATACATAAACGATATAGGAAAATATAAGTATTGTATCATAATATCATCAACGTTTTGATTAAAAATTTAAATACAAACTATTTTGAACTATTTCAGCTAAATWCACTTATTCATTACTTACAATAAATACGGATTATATAAAAAAAAAATCTAAAAAATAATATTTCACTGTAGCATGAATTATAAACAAATATTTATTTAAGATAAATACAAGAAAAAAGGTTTCATATTATATTTTATCATACATATTATAATATACATGGACAATTTTTTTTTAAATATTTGTTTCCCAAACTAAAAAAAATAAAGTAATGAAATTGAATGATTGGTAAATGTTATAATACTTAAATGTATTCAATTAAATTTTAAATCGTATTTATTTTTAAAGAAAATTTGTGCTTTTCAGGAAAACATTTTTCATTTTTAGTAAATATATCCTGTTTTTATKAAAACTTCAATAAATTGAATAATTTAAAAATATTAATTAAGAACTAACGAGATAGATTTTACCATTTCATAAAACATAGTTAACGAATCGTCTCATTAATACRTATTTGAAACTTTTCAAAATTCTTTGCGCATACTTCTTCCTTTAATTATATTCTCAATTTATTTATTCAGTTGTGATCATTTCGATTTCATTCTAAGTTATGTCATACTAGTGTCCTAATTTTGCTCTTTAAAATTATAATTGTCTAATTAAAATATAGTGGAAAAAATTGTTTTTACCGTTATGTTTAGCTAATATATATTTTACCTTATTAATGTCATTCGATGTATACAATCCAAGGATTTGGCTAGTATTTAAATCACACCAAGTAAAGACTTGTTACATAACTTTTTTCCACGCGCCTAACTAAAATTGATTTTTGAAACATGTCCTAAAAAATAAATAATAGCAGTAAATAGAAAAGTAGTATTCTCCATGACAAGCTTTGTTGATTAAAAACCCAATGTAATAACGATTTCATCGTTTCATAATCATAAACCGAAATAATGATAGACCGGATCGAAAATCTGCAGCCATGACCTCGGGACCCCCGAGAGGTTTTTAATAATTTAATACTTATTTTACACAGCAAGTATACTGAAAACATTTTCCAATCACCCATAATGGAATTTTTTATAAGCCCCTGTGCGTACCATGGGCCTCCTCGACTTTGCTTTATTAATGTACAATCGATATAAAAGTTTATTTTTATTTTTCACCAACCAAGCTATAAAAACTCTATATTATATTATAATAATACAAGCTCAAAACAAAAATGTGCAGACGACGGTTGATCGAGATTAAAGTCTCAAACAACATTATTAGACCTTTTCATATACTAAACGGTAAAGTTTATGGATTCGAGTATTAATAGGTAAATATGAGTATATTAATATATTCTGGTATGCATAATATCGTTGTAAAATGTTATTTTTATAATATTATGTTTTTGTCTAAATTGGTCTCCATCGAGTTTGCCGTGTTTTTAGAATTAATCAAAATACTGACCTTTTTTTTCTTATTACTCGTAAATAATTTAGTAGC